GAATTTGTTATCTGCAGATGACGAGGCAGTAAACTGGTTGTCGGGAATTTTAGAGCTATCTTCTAGTCCAACCGGGTTATAGTTGCATCCTATAGCTAGAACAAGGCATTACGCATATTTAGAAAAAGTGACGCCTGCAAAAATGCAGTTTGGGTGGCAATAAACAAAATCAGAGGTAGTCTTTTTGAAAAAAAGAAAGAAAGGTAAGGAAAAAAGAATATTCTTGGACTTCTCCTGTGATATCTGCCAGGGTATGTCCGCCATTCAAAACAACACGATAGAACTGTTGATCGGTCAAAAACTCCAACGTGTCGTATTGATCACACAAGTATCAAGTATCTCGCAGAGTTTTTATAGGCCTTTCTGCCTCAACCATTCGCTCACAAAGAAAGTGCTGTTCCCTTTAAATTCTTCAAACGATGCACTGATTGTTGTTGTTCCATGTGCAAACTGATCGCGTAGGCGGGAAGCAATATTTCTTAGACGGATGCAAAAATGTACAGTGGGGTAGGGTAGTGGATGAAAACCAACCGTGTCTTTTTAAAGCATATGTATTAAAATATTCTTTAGCTATTTAAATAGGCATATTTGTCAAAGAGATATTAAAAAAGGAACGATATCAATCTTGTCTAAAAGAATTGACAAATGCCCCACCGGTCACCTATGGGTAGAGGTTATCTGACAAATCCCCCACCACCGGAACCGACAAGATGACAGACGCCCGACAAACGCCCAGGAGGGGGATGGGACGCTTGGAATAGACTGAGCCATTAGTCTGTCTGGTCATCATGTGAGACCGCAGGTATGGTTGCGTCGGACATGGCTAAATCTCATTTGGGCATTGTCCAATGGCCGCCATATACAGTATTTGCGGCTCTGCCCCACTTTGAATAGCTTACTCTATTCCTAGAAGGACAAAGAATAAACACGCGTTGGAACATGCTGAATCCCAGGAGCGAAGGGGTGAGCATAAGGAACCGGGAATGAAATCACTGCCTAATTTCAAACCGAGAGGGGCTGGGTCGAGTCCTCTTATTATGGGATTAAGCCACACGATAACCACGTAGTCAGAAAGAGCACATTGAGTTTAGGAACATTCTTATGTTTGGTGTTTATCAGGCCTATATTGAACAAGATACAGCGATTCAAAAACTCCAAAATTTAAGGAATATCGACGTCCAGACGGTGTGTCTGATAACTCCTTTCATAAATTTCAAGTGTTTAATTAGCTGTATCTTGTTCAATATTGGGCCGACTGACACCAAAAATGAGACTATGTGGGTCTCGTGTTGTTTATCACATAATGAACGGACTAGTACCTAGCCCTGCTCGGTTTGAAACAGGGTAATTCAAATGACAGACAAGACAAAAACTGGAAGCACGTAGCAGACAACCTTTCAAAACACCTCATGGTTTCCGATGATCTCCCAGTGAAATATCCTATTAAGTAAAATAGTAAAAACAAATTTGTTCTAATATGGCGGAGCTTAATATATAAAATGATAGATCATGGTTAACCCAACGATCATTGCCTGGGCTCTAGGTACGACCACTTTTTCGAATTTACGAGGTGATCGCTTACGACTGCATATTCAAGTCTTCTGTAATACGAAAGAAAAACAAGAACACTTACTTGTTCGGCTATTGTCCGAAAAAACTTCAACCTCACAG